CGGGCAGTTGGTCGATCCGCAAGCCGGTCCAGTATCTATCCTGCTCGAGACCCTGCCATATCAGCGCCTCGGTGCCCAGAATCACCTGCCAGCCCCTTTCCCCGGCCAGGGCGCCCAGCCGCGTAAACGGCGAAGGGTTGTAGCACATCTCCAGCATGGCGCCCTTGTGGCGCTTGTCCATCAACACCTCGGCCACCTGTCTCGCCACGAGCTCCTCGCGCGTCTGGGGGTCGCAGTCGGGCACGCAGGCGACGATGGCGCCCGGTCCGTCGACGGCACGCGCCTCGTCGACGCTCGCGACGTGCCGCAGGCCGTGGCCGTATCCGCGCGAGGAGCAGTCTGCCACCATGGCGTCCACCTCGCTCTTGTCCCTGTTGACGAGGTAGATGTCCGTCACGTGCATCCACTTGCGGAGTGCGTAGATGGCACTCCGGGCTGCGCCGCCGCCGCCGATGACGAGGGCCGGGCGGCCGTGGAACGTGCGCGAGGGGTCGGCGACGTTGTGGTGGAACGAGTCTCTGATGCCGACGACGTCGGTGTTTGTGCCGCAGAGGATGCGGTGTCCGTTGCGTTGCTTGAGGAAGAGCGTGTTGCAGGCGCCGACGTCTCTGCACTCGTCTGTCATTTCATCCAGGTGCGCGAGGATGGCGACTTTGTTGGGCATGGTGACGGAGGCCCCTGTGACTCTTGTTAGTGGCGTCTCGGCCTTTTTTTGTTTTCTGTTCTTTCGCAAGGGGGGGAGTGCTGGACTCACCGTAGAATGATGGATGTTGTGCCAGTTGTAAGAACTGCGACATGTCGGCCGAGTCGAGCCGTATCTGGCTCCATTTCAGGCCCAGGTGGTCGTATATGATCTGGTGTAAGAACGGTGATAGCGAGTGTGTGATTTTCTGACCAAAGAGATACCCATGTCGATCTAGTCGTGCCTTTTGGTCCTCCAGATTGTCGCCTAATGGATTTTGTTGTTGAAGAGCCTCCGTCGTTGCCATGATGCAGGTGTCATCGAGTCGAGTTCAATCAATCTTGGTACAGAGCTTGCGAACGAGAGAATCTACGTCGAATGAGGTGTTGCGTTGATATGTCTTTGCGTACGACCCGTGCACTTGCATGCCATCCCCGGAAAAGCAAACTACCCTTCCCAGGATTGATGTGGCTTGGGAAGAATGCGGCATCCTGTCCGAAAATGTCGGCCAAGGCTCGCGGCCGCCAAGATCAACGGCCCCACATCGGCATCCCCGCATCCGGGAGCTGACCCGGGTAAAGACTTACCCGTTGCATTAATGCTTGCCTGAATGGGCCGCGTCATGTCGGGTGAATGGTGAACACTGAATGGCGAATGCGGAAGCTTGGTGAGTGATGTTGGATAGGAGTTCTTCCTGTGGAGTTTGACAAGTCAGCTGGGTTGCCGCAGATGAAGGAGTATTCCGTCCGCACCTTGCTGTCCCGGACTTCAATTCACTCCCGTACATGGCAAATTATGTTTATCCAAGAGAATGATGGATGAAGTTTCCAAGTGCTGGGTATTGCAGACACTCTCAGAAAGAGCTGTACGGGATGTAGATACTTGGGCATTAATCCGCACATGCACATGTTCATGGTGACACAAGGTCTCCCGTGTTTGGCGCAAGCAAGGCTGGCAATCAAGCTCTGTTCGCATGCGCCTCCCTTCTCATATAATTGGCAAACGTCATTTACAATCCAAGCAAAGATATAAACCGTAATCGTCAAAAAACATCTCTCAAAATGGTGCACATGGCCAGCATTTGCACCATGTCCCTCGGCCGCTGTGCCGCTGGCCACAAACTCGAAGATAAACTTGAAATGGCAGCCCAACACGGCTTTCAAGGCATCGAACTCTTCTACGAAGACCTGGTCGACCTCGCAAAAACTATTCAAGATGGAAACACCCTAGAAAATGAACTAGCCGCAGCAGTCATGATTCAGAAAATGTGTCAGAAGCGCGGACTCGCCATCATCTGTCTCCAGCCTTTCATGCACTACGAAGGGTTGCTCGATCGGGCTCTGCATCAGAAGAGGATCCAGGAGATGCATCACTGGGTGAAGCTGGCTCACAATTTGAACACTGATCTCATTTTACTGCCGAGCAGTACCCTGGCGCCCGAGCACATTTCTGAAGACGTGGACGTCATCGTTCGAGATATGCGGGAAGTCGCCGAGATTGGCCTCCAGGCACGACCAGTAATACGGTATGCCTTCGAGGCTTTGAGTTGGGGAACCAGAGTCGACACCTGGGAGGCCAGTTGGGATGTGGTCAAGAAGGTGGACCGGTGCAACTTTGGGATTTGCCTGGACTCGTTCAACATTGCCGGGAGAATATACGCGGATCCCTCAGTGTCCTCTGGCTGCACCCGGGACTGTGACGAGGCAGTTGTGCGGTCGGTGACAGGCATAGTCAGCGAGGTCGACGTTTCCAAGTTGTTTCTATTGCAGGTTGCTGACGCAGAAAAGCTGTCGAGGCCGCTTACACCAGAGCACGAGTTTTACGACCCCGAACAGCCTCCCCGAATGAGTTGGTCGCGCAATGCTAGGCTATTCTACGGCGAGGATGCGCACGGTGCATATCTTCCTGTGAGAGCTATTTTGAGTGCCATTGTTACAGGCTTGAGATGGGAGGGTTGGCTGAGCTTCGAAGTCTTCAACAGAGAACTCTTCAACCCGGACCCTAGGATACCACGTCTTATGGCTCAGCGTGCAGCCCGCTCGTGGAACAAGATGGTTTCGGAACTAGGCCTGACCACGGACCAGCCAAAGGAAAAGATGCAACCGATGCTGTAGATATACCTAATAAATTACAATTCTAGACATTCTACACGTGTGCTACAACCGTGACGCGTGACTCTTAACATGCCGAACCACAAACTCCAATGCAGCCTCATAACCGTATACACCCAGCCCGCAAATCACCCCTACCGCTTTATCGCTTAAGTAGCTATGTCTTCTGAACTCTTCCCTGGCGTGGACATTAGAAATATGCACTTCCACAAACGGGATGTCAACTCCAGAAAGGGCATCGCGTATGGCGACGCTAGTGTGCGTAAAGGCACCAGGGTTAATGATGATGGCATCAATGTCGCCGCGGGCCTGGTGGATGCGGTCGACTAGCGCACCCTCATGGTTGGATTGGAAGGACTCAATGGTGCTAGAAAGGGAGGATGCTTGGGTTGTGAGGGTGGCAATGATGTCGGAGAGCGTTGTTGAGCCGTAGGTTTGCGGCTCACGGGTGCCGAGGAGGTTGAGGTTCGGACCGTTGAGAAGTAGGATGCGGGGCATTTTTGGATACAAAGCCAGCACTGAGTTGATTACACCTTTTTCAGTTACGGATGGAGAGAATACGGGCTTATTTTAATACATGTGCGGTCAAAGTGGCCAATGTGTGGACTTCGTCTGGGGTCTGGGTAAAGCATCATCCAGAATGTGGAAGCGCTCCGCCTCCTTGCGCCGGGATTGGAAACCGTTGATATCCGCCTGTATTGGATGGATGGTGATCAAAAATTGCAACACATAATCCTCTTCAAATGATACCATATTGGACAGACAACTGTTGCTGAGTTGACAGCCGCAATGGACGACCATCAACTCACCGAGATATACGCCTTTGCCAAAAAACTCGGTAAAGATGCAGGCCAGATGCTCCTTGACTCTGCCTGGAGTAGAATCAAGACTCCATCATCCGACGGCAATTTCCAGGAGAAAGAAAGCTCAGTTGATATAGTCACAAAGACAGACCACGGTACATACGACACACCACCTACCACCTATGCCATTTCTACCAGAATCTAACTGTAAAAGCCGTCGAAGAGTTCATTCGCCAATCCATCATCACCAGGTTCCCTGACCACAGGTCCGGCACCAACGCGTCACTTAGCCTCAGCAGGTACTAACTGTTACAGCTTCCTCGGCGAAGAATCATATTCAGCCGGCTCCTCGAAAGAGTACCTCGTCACGTCTGCGCCGACATGGATCGTTGACCCCCTTGACGGCACTGTCAACTTCACACACCTCTTCCCTATGTTCTGTGTTTCCATCGCATTCTGCACTGGAGGTCATCCCGTCATTGGAGTGATCAACGCCCCATTTTTGAACCAATTCTTTTCATCGTGTCGCGGAAAAGGCGCCTGGTTCAATGAACAACATCAGTTGCCCTTGGTGAGGAATCCGATACCGCCTCTGCCTGAAGCTGCCCCGAGTGGATGTACCTTTGCCTGCGAATGGGGTAAAGACAGGAGGGAAGGCCCAGATGGAAACTTGAATAGAAAAGTCAATTCATTTCTCAAGATGGCAATGGAGAGGAAGGGTAGAGGAGGACGAGGGGGGATGGTCCATGGCGTGAGGAGTTTAGGGAGGTATGGGACATATATACAGCATGTTGAATATGGTGGTTATGCTGATGATTCGCAGTGCGACAATGGATTTGGCGTATACGGCGATGGGGTCGATTGACATTTGGTGGGAAGGAGGATGCTGGGAGTGGTACGCATGACAAGTGAAGGATATATCAGGCTGTCTTCACTCATTGACCTGTGATAGGGATGTCGCTGCCGGTATTGCCATCTTGGAGGAGGCGGGAGGTCTGGTTACAACTGCTAATCCCCCGCGCGATTATACACAAGCTGCCATCCCGCAAGTCAAACTAGGTGGACGATTATACCTTGCTATACGGTAAGACCAAAAGCAACACAATGTGTTTAAACAGCGCTGATAATCACCAGTCCTGCCGGCAGCTCAGATACAGAGACGGCCCTGGAAGCACAACACCGCGTGGTGAGACAAGTGTGGCAGAGGGTGGAAGCCCTTAATTACGACCGACCACAGTAGAAACAACGCGCCGTATTGTTTTGTCTTCAAACAGAATCATGCTCTAGAAGCATTCCCCAACCCGCAGTGAAGAAATTTCACAAGAGCAACTCATCATCATGGCACCAAGTAAATTCCGTCCCCCGTCGCAAAATCAGACCAAACCGAAGCAATTTTAAAACCCATCATGAGATCTCCAAATCATTCATGCGGCTGATAAAGTCTTCCTGCAAGTGTTTCAAGTATCCGGGTAGGGCTTCGTCGCTCCCGTACTCGTAGGCTTGTTTCAGAGCCTCATGCAAACTGAGCACGAGCTTACGACGGGCTACCAACCGTCGAGACTCAGAATCCCGCAAACTAGCCTCTCTTTGTTGCCGCAGTGCTTTTGCCACCTCTTCGGCTCGCTTAGTAAAAGGTTCCGGAAACCCAATCGCCCGTGCTAAATCGATTCCGTAATGCTGGTTTGTGTCGACAACACCAGATTTTGCCTTGTAGAGCATGACCAGTCGTGGTTCACCTTCATCTGAGATCGACCGCTCAGAGGCTAAATGCAAACTCAACACACCTGGGCGATCCTCTAAAACGCGAGTCAGGTCAACGAAATGAGTTGCAAACCACACAAAGGCACCCGACTGTATAAGTGCTTCTGACATTGCAATTGCCATTGCCAGGCCATCCCTGGGGCTCGTGCCGCGGCCCAGTTCATCAATTATCACCAAACTTTTGCCGTTTACATTTCGCAGGATGAAAGCCATTTCCCGCATCTCGAGAGAATATGTGGAGAGATTCGCTTCGAGATTATCGGTCAACGACACTCGTGCAAACAGATTGTGCATTACGGGGAAAGACGCATATTCGGCCGGAACAAAGCATCCGATTTGGGCCATTATCTGCAGCAGTGCGATAGCTCTGATATAGGTAGTCTTGCCTGCCATATTGCATCCTGTAACAATATGGAAACGATGCTGAGGCGTCGCGTAGTAGTCATTCGGAACAAAGCCCTCAAACATGATCTAAATGGTCATTAGCAGTGTCCGAATCTTTCGCATGTGGGACCACTGACATTGTCCAATATTGGATGCCGGGCTGCTTTTAACGCCAGTGTATCTAAGATCTCTGGTCGGACATAGTCTCTGATGGTAGCAAGATGAGCAAAAGAGGCAATCATGTCGACCAAAGCAACTGATTCACAGACCCTAAATAGCTGTGGAGATGATTCCCTGAGATCCAAGATCAGTTCTTGGATTACTTTGTCACTACGCATGATAATTTCGTTTGAAGTCTCTGATAGCCGGAAGTTTAACTTAACTAGTGACAGAGTCTGACACTGGATATGATCCTTCTTTTTCACGACGTTGATGAAGACTTGAGGTAATGTGTCTTTGTTGAGGTCCCCTGATTTAATGCGCAGCCAATACTTGCGCCCGTGATCGAATTTGACAGTCAGCTGAATACCATGCTGGGCTAATTTCCACAATGTTATTCATTTGTGATTGAGACTAATATCGCCAACGAAATACCTTGGATGTCGTTGACATGGAGATGGATATCATTCGTTAGTTCTTTGTACGCTTGTCGTGCAACATCTAGCATGTCATTGATACCAGCCTTGACGGCGTACGTCCTCTGATTGCGCATGTCGAGCGGCGAAGTCATATACGTAACATCAGCCTCTACGACCTGATGAATCCTGGATAAGATAGGGTCTGTCGTGTTAGGGTGGCAAATGTCTCGAATCTTGAGAAGAAGCGCGCTATTGCATTCAGCCAGCGCTTGATAGAGCTCCGGCACTGACTCAAGAAACGTTTTTATAAGAATGACGTGATTAATTTGCTCTTCGGCGTGGGTGATACTCGACTTGGTGGATATCGTGATCATCTATTACAGGTTAGCTCGCATCTGCATGCCATGGTCTTGTCAAAATATCCCTTTGTGAGAACTCTTTCGATGTCTTTGAAGTTTTCAAGCGCTATGTTTCGTTAGTGGCATCAATACATCTTCTGGGTTAGGAAAATTACCCTTTCGAACCGCATGAAACATTTCTTCCTCACTCGTAAGCTCCTCTAAGGCTTCGTAGCGGGGTCTTATAAAAGTACTGTACTTTGTTGGGGGCTGAAGAATATTGTTGCGAAGCATGCGCGACCCCATTGGCGTCTTGGTTTGATTCAAAAGCCCAAAGAGACTGTCCTTGGACTTGGGTTTGTCAAGGTTCTGTATGATCTCCAGAGATTGTATGACCGAGATATCAACCATCATGGTATCTTCCGACGGTCGATATTTGATACGCAATGAATTAGGAGCGAAACTGATCGTGAATGTGTGCTCAATATATTTCATGGCATGAGATGGAGGTTAGCATATGCAGTAGGGAGAGCAGCCCTATACAGTGAGTCTTACTGCCGCAAGCGAGCTGATGCAGTAATATTTGCCCTGCACTGCTACCTTCATGGGGTCGATATCGCTCTTGAATGCCAGGTTGTCTATGTATTCGAGGCCGTCCGCTTCCGACCAGGCGGATCTGTCCAACACTTCGATGTCTGCATCTGGTATGAGCTCATCAATCAAGGTATAGAGAACACTGTCTTTGTTCGGCGGGCAAGCCGTAGACATCAAGACAATTCTAGATGGACCTGCTATCTGGAGCTTGTGGATCGTCTTGACGTATGATTGATTGTCGCATATCTGGCTCAACACAGCCTCACCGAGTGTAATATTCACAAGCGCAAGCCCAATAGAAGGTGAAATGCCACGAGACTCGGCAACAGCGCAAATGATTGTTTGTTGGTCACTTGCTCCCAACATTGTAGACAAAGTACCAGTTCGTGACTTGCGCCCCGAGACACTGGTCGATGGACGCGATCTACCGGCCGTGATATTGGACTTGGCTGTGCTTGACACTGTGCCGGCTATAGACGGGGTTGCAGTTATTGAGCTGCCGCCCTCGGAAATGATACGAGGAGGCCGCCGGCTGGAGGTGGACGAGGACGTGTTAAGAGCACGGGAAGGGTGCTGAAAATAAGACGATGTCATGCTGGACGACCGGGACTGCCTGGGTTGTCGAGGCATGATTCGGGTTAGGACGGGCGAAATCCTGGTTGATGGTTCGTACCGTGTTTCGATATTGCGGTAGGCCAGTTTTGGTAGGGACACGGTGGACTGCATGCACCTGGAGATGAACGAGCACGAGGAACCAGCGATGGGGGCAATGATACGAAACGTAAAGTGTCTGGTTCTGAATTCAGGAACTAATTCATCTGATGTGTGTGGTCCGCGACACCACAGTACGAGAATTCGCCAATGGGGCTGGGCAGTTCCTTCCAATTATGATGATGACAATGATGGAAATGAGGGAAGGCGCGTTGGGCTGATTGACGATGATGGGGACCGCACAAGGGTGCGTGTGGCTCCATCAACACAAACATCTCGCACCACCCCAGAGCCAAATCCGCACACCCCTCTTACACCATCACAAATCACAGCTCGGAAGTATCGTCCAATGTTCGGGATTTTGGAGGCGGCTGCGGTCCCTCACTCGGGCATCTTCAATACCTATGAAGACCTCATGCTCGATCTCAACAGGCGCATGGAAAGGGAAGGCTACAAAATTGTCAAGGCGAGATCCCATCGTAACAAGATCGGCGGCGGTGATGTGGCCGGGAACGAGATAGTTCGCTGCGATCTGGTGTGTGACCGCGGAGGACGACCGTACAAATCTACAGCTACCAAACACAAGACGCACACCAAGAAGACGGGCTGCCCGTGGAAGGCAAAGGCCGTGAATCGCAAATCAGTTGGCGGCTGGGTTCTGACCGTATTCTGCAACGAACACAATCACGAGGCCGGAACACCTGAACCTCCCAGCGTACCGGAGGCTTGCGAAGAGGATGGTACCGATGCAGACAATGAAGACGGTGCGTCATGAAATATTGTATATTGTTTCTCAGGTTCTAAACCATTCCGACTCTAACATGAGAAAAGAAATTCATGCCGGACCAAGACCAGATCCCGAGACTTCGGCAGCCCTTCGAGTCGCGGGAGTATCGGACAGCACTTTGCGCCTAACTGGAGACACATTCCATCACCTCAAGACGGAATACCGAAAGATGACACAAGGAGACCGTCTTAATGCCCTGGCACAGCTGCAACTGCGAATAGCAGCGCTTTATGCTGTCCAGAATGAAGATATGCAGAGGCAGAGACGGCAAGAAAATCAGCATCAGCGTCATCGGGCCGTCGACGCCAGCAGGAACACTCTATCCACGCAAAAATACCGTGCGCGAAGACACCCGAGAACCCAAGATGAGCAGCAGAAACAGGCAACCAATCTCCCAGCAGAGCCCGAGCTGTCGTTGACCGAGGACCTCGTGCACATAGGTCCCAACCACACTCCAGATGCGTTAATGCAGGGGCCACATTTCCAACTGACCGTCCCTGGCAGTGCAATGGACAGTGTCGAGATGCCACAATATCACGGATCCTCCAAGAGGATGAGGCCGTACCGAACCCAAGGCACATGAGCACCAACATTTGCAACTTCGCCGAGCCTCGTCTCATAAGTGGCGATTTTTGGTGGGGCGCGTATCAATGCCGTTGTTGACGCGCTTGTGCCAACCGGGCTCACCGCCTAAATTTTGTCAGAGTTTTGCCGCCCCGCCGGAGCAGTTTGAGAAATTCGGAATCAGCCTGGGGGGGAATAATTGGCGAGCATCGCAACTGAAGTACGTCGCGACGTCAATATTTCACAAAATGGCAACCGTCGTCCCCCCGCCATCAAAAAGGCAGAAGCGTGAAGAGCTCGAAAGGTCCAGAGTGCAGCAGGATGTTAACGCAGCCATGGCCGGGCCGGAAGGCTCATTCAAGGCTCGGTTTCTGGACGGCGATGGGAATCAGGTCTGCGATGTGATTGAAGTGCCTCTTGCAGATGCCTCGGAAAAGAACCTGTCACTCCTTTTGAACACCCTATTGTCAAGGGTAAGCTGCCATACACTCTGGTGCACTTAATCTTACCGTGTACTGACTCTGGCATGTTCCAGGAACGAGAAGAGTATTTGCCGTATCGATTTCGAATTCACATTCCAGATTCCGACATCATCGTTGACCAGTATCCTAAAGATTTGCTTCAGCTCTTAAGAAGTCATGGCATCGAGAACCCTTTCGAGACAACCGTTACCCTCACTGCCGAGCCCCAATCAGTCTTCAAAGTGCATGCTGTCACGCGCATGTCACATAGAATTCCAGGCCACGGAGAAGCAATTCTGGCAGCTCAATTTAGCCCAGAGACAAATACTCGTCTAGCTACGGGATCTGGTGACAAGACTGCTAGAATATGGGATACTGAAACTGGAACTCCAAAGTACAAACTAGCCGGCCATACACATTGGGTGCTCTGTGTCGCATGGTCGCCTGACGGCAAACGCCTGGCTACTGGAAGCATGGACAAGTCTGTCAGACTTTGGGATCCTGCAACAGGGAAAGCAGTGGGAAGTCCTCTCAGAGGACATTCCAAGTGGATCACCAATATCGCTTGGGAGCCTTATCACCTATGGAGAGATGGCACGCCGCGGCTGGCAAGCGCGAGCAAAGACATGACTGTGAGAATTTGGGTCGTAAATACGGGAACGACTGAGCATGTGCTCTCTGGGCATAAAAGCTCGGTCAGCTGCATTCGATGGGGTGGGACTGGTCTCATATACACTGGAAGCCATGACAAGATGGTGCGAGTCTGGGATGCGGCAAAGGGCACATTGGTGCATACCTTATCATCACATGCTCACTGGATTAACCATTTGGCGCTTTCAACGGATTTTGCCTTGAGAACGGGGTATTTCGACCACCAGCCAACGCCGATTACAGAGGACGAGAAGCGGGCGAAGGCCAAGGAGCGGTTCGAGAAGGCAGCGAGAATCCAGGGGCGAGTATCCGAGCGCCTGGTATCCGCAAGTGATGATTTCACAATGTTTTTGTGGGAGCCTTCTCAAGGAAATAAGCCGGTGGCCAGGATGGTCGGCCACCAGAAGCAAATCAACCATGTCACGTTTTCTCCTGACAACACCTTGATTGCTAGCACAGGCTGGGACAACCATACAAAGATCTGGAGTGCAAGGTATGAGGCGTATCTAAAAACAAGGGGCCGTTATAGAACTAACAAGGCTTCACAGAGATGGCAAGTTCATCGACACTCTGCGCGGGCACGTCGCTACGGTTTACCAGTGCTCATTCTCTGCTGATTCTCGTTTACTGGTGACAGCATCCAAGGACACAACCCTCAAAGTCTGGTCAATGGCGTCTTTCAAGCTAGTGGTCGACCTCCCCGGCCATCATGATGAAGTATACGCAGTAGACTGGGCACCAGATGGTAAGCGCGTTGCCAGTGGAGGTAAGGACAAGGCAGTACGATTATGGGCGAACTAGATTTTCTGTTTTGGCAGCGAGACACCGATCAAGATAAACAGCTTCCCAACTGAGCCTTGCGATATCCAGTTACCAATAAAAAAAATATCTCCGGTATATACCCGCTATTTTAATCTTTATTTAGTGATTTCTCTGCAAACTCGGGAGGTTAGAGCCAAGACACGTACTGCAACAACGACGTGAAATCAGGCAGGATTCAAGCAGTAGACCAATCTGAATATTTTTTTTCGAAGGATCCGAAGCTAACGATCCTTTGCGAGGGTCTCTGAGATCCCAAGGCTACACAGATCTTGCTGTAACTGGGCCATGTGGATATATCGTGTGGATATCGCCGGACTTGGAACCAAAATGCGGGATGTGGATTTCAAGTCAACATTGTCGCGCTCCTTTTCATAACATACAAGGCCAGCTTCAAGAAAGTTTTACCTCATACGGTTTATGTAGGGACTCTTGGCAATGTGTTGCAGGGGGGAGGGGGGGAGACGAAGAAATTTTGCATCACTGTTGAAGAGTTGATAAGAACCGGATGTTATTTTACATGGGCGCCTGAATATATCAAGCTAACGGTAACTTTGTCGTCTTTGCAGAGCAGAGATGCACTTTTCTTCACTACTCATTTGGCTGACCATAGGGGCCGCGGCCACAGAATGGCCAGATGTAGTCACCATGACTACCACGCAGACGCAGTATGCTCCGTGGGAAGGAATTGTCTACCAGGACGGGGATGTGTGCTATTGTCCGTTGGAGATTTCAACGCCAGATATAGCATCATCTTCTACATCGACAATAGTCACGTCTCTTAAAGCTACTGCTACTGACGTTGTGGTTCATCCAGGCGGCTCTACCTGTCCACCGACCGACGGCGATTTAGGTCCTACAACATCTGTACCTCCCCTGACGCCGGGACAATCGACACTTGCAACGTCACAGGCTCAGTCCGAGGCACATTTCTCCTCGTTTTCACAATCTGCGAGTCGAAGCGGAATTATACCGTCACCGGCATCGTCCGAGTCACGAAGTCTGCCGAATGGGCAATCCAGCGCGGTGAATACGGAGACGACGTCTCTACATTTCAAAGAAACGACGCGTGAGGAGATGAGCACGACTTCTTTGGTACCAGTGCCGTCATATAGTCAGACTATAGCGCCTAGTCAAGGGAATGCAACGTGGTCATGGAAATCAGCAAGCCCAGGTGGCTCGACGTCCAAGACCGGCTCTGTGGTACCATCTGTGTCGAGTAGTGAGATTCTGTCGAGCAATGCTGGTGAGCCCGAAGGCTCTCGCCAACCTATATCTAGTGCTCATACGTCACAACCCGGTACTTCCAGCCTCCCGGTTTCTGGTGACGGTTCTTCGCAGACTGCCAGCTTTAGCACGAAGCCTCGGTCTGAAATCTCACGCCAACCAATGCCATCCAGCTCGTCAATACCAGAAAGCTCATCGTACATCGAAAGCTCGAGTCCTCCCAGCTTCTCCACGCGAGTGACCTCGTTCTCTTCTTCTTTCACATCGGGAAGGTCAACTTTAAAGCCTGCCATCTCTAGCCCGACAGTTTCGAGTCCTACATTCTCGAAACCAGTTAGCTCAAACACTTTAATTTCTTCTACACTAGGGAATTCTAGTGCCCTGACTTCGGCGGCTCCGAATTCATCAAGGCCTGGTCGTTCTTCGCAGCCCGTAGTCTCAAGTCAATCTGTGTCAAGTTCAGGCTCGTCAAGCCAGGAGGGCTCAAGTACTCCGGTATCAAGCCACAGCTCGACCAAACCAGCTAGCTCTCTCCTAAGCTCTTCAAAAGCTGAGATTTCAAGTGCGTCTAGCTCATCCAAGTCATCAAGCTCGAGCGTGGTCACGGTTAGGGCAACGACACCGGTCAACAGCAGGGGTAGCACGTCAACAGCAGTGATCTCTTCGTCCGGCCAGCCGTCACTCCATTCCAGTAAACAACAGTCCTCCACCGTCTCACCCTCGTCAAGTGGCAGGATGTCGAGCAAACTTGGCTCCTCGACATTGGTATCAAGTTCGGCCGACACGACAATCGCCACGTCGCCAAGCGTGGGCCCCAGCAAAACATCTTCCAGCTCAGAGTCTACAAAGTATACATCTTGTGTGCCTACGGCTGCCTTTGCCGTCGAGGGTTCCGCCAAATTGGCGCCAACCTCTACGCCTGGAGGTCTAGGCCGTCGGGGTCCTGTCGAGGTGTTTGGTAGAGCCAAGTGCAGCCCAGGGACATTTCGATGCATCAGTACGCCTTCAGGGTGGGAGGCATGCGACACCCAGGGCAAGTGGATCGTGAGTATTTGTCACTATACCATTCTTCCTAGAGTCTATGCTGACGATTTTTCTATGTAGTTTGCCGGATTATGTCCCCCGGCAACGCATTGCGTTTACTATCCGGAGGACTTGGGGCTTCTCTGCCTGCCACCTTGTTGAGACGGCTGGCTGTGTATTCGTGGACAGCACACGAGGTGTTTTTTTTTTTTTTTT